GCTGGAGGGCAGAGTTGGCCGACTGAGGACAGGGGTAGCCGTGCTGTGTCCACGGAGATGCTCAGTTCCCGCTGCGGCTCGGCAGGGTCGGAGGGACGGGGATGCTTGGGGTCCTCGTGGGGGCAGTGGCGGGTCCAGGTGAGAGCTTCTCACCCGGGTTCAGGCAGTGCGGGAGCAGGATTTCAGCGGTTCGGAGGCTCAAGCTGCTCCAGAAGCCCACACGCAGCTCCTGTGTGGCCCCCAGAGCTGGGATTAGAGGTGGATGTTTCCTCTGTGACCATGGGGGCAAGCCAGCAGCAGGGTCATTGCGAGAAGGGGGCTAACGGCTGCCTTGGGCTGGCCTCTCCTGGCCATAGGCAGGGACGTTGATCTGGCTGGTCTTCGCAGCCGTCCTCCAGACGGAGAGGATGTTCTTGACAGGAATGTCTGGGTCCAGGCCATCCGTGAGGGTATCCACAGAGGTGGCGGGGACCTGGTTGTCTTCCAGGAAGAACTTAAAGGCACACTTCAGCCTGTGGGTGAGGTAGAGCCGGGGGTGAGCGGGCAGAGGTGGGATGGGTGTCCCACCGCCCGCAGCCACCAGCCATGGCCGGCGTTGGCTGTCAATAATAAGCGCTGTCTCAGCCAAGGTTGCTGGTCAATGGTGGCTCTCCGTAGTGGCCAAGATTGCTGGCCAGTGATGGCCAACGCCTCGTGCTAGAGGCCGCTCTGGGGTGTCTCCAGTGGCGTCAGGAGCCAGTGGGGCAGCTGATGGCTGGGCATAAGAAGAACCTCTTCCCTCAGGGGTGATGCCGCCTTGGACAGCCCCCAAGACGAGCATCTCCAAAGACAGAGATCCACCAACTTGCAAGCAGACGAGGCCTTGAGTAACCTGCCTGGGGCAGGACGTGGCCCAGAGACCTTCAGAGGTCTCTCCCCAACCAAACCCTCGCAGGAAGCTGCGACTTCTGCCACCTCTCTGGCTGTCCCAGGATACGACCTGGACTTACTCATGTTCAGGCTCAAATCCGGACAGTGCCACCATGATCATCTCGTGAAGCTCAATGAGGAAGAGGTCGAGGTTGGTGTTGGACAACGCAGAGGACAGGGCTTTTGCCTGCCTTGCATCCAGCTGCTCGTGGAACTGCTTGGGTACCAGGCAGAAGGGATCCTGCAAAGACCACCACAACCCTCTCGTGTCCTTGAACCTCATATCAGGGCCACCAGAGAGCTTCCACGACATAAGCCATTCTGGAAAGTGCCCAGCGGGGTGGATTATCTTCCGGATGGGCCAGAGACCTTGACGTAAAGTCAGGTTCCCTTTCTTCTCCACGGCGGGGCAAATGCTATCTCCTCCCCCAAGCTCCTCTCCCTCACCTGGTTCATCTGTACCAACAGCATGGACCTGCGAGCCGCCAGGACCTGCCACAGCGACAGGATGTGCTTCAGCCGGGTGTTGGGGGCCACCTGAAGAAGGGGGACAGAGAGGTACAGGCGTTCAGCTCCTTGGAAAGGTCATGTCTGCACTCAACTCCAGCATGTCCTAGAGGACACGCTGGGCCACCAGCATCCCCTGATGGCTGCACCTCAACTGCCCAGTTCAAGCATCTACAAACCCCTGGCTCCCACATCACCGGCATCCCCCCCCGAGGTGCCCCAGGCCATCCGCAGTGCCCAAGGTGTCCCCAAGCTGTTGGTGGACATGGCATGAAGACCTGCCACCGCCCAACCAAGCTTTTAAACCCACCCAGGTGCCCAGGACCTCTTTGCTCCGAGCAGGGGACCCCCGAACTTTCACAGACACTAGATCTGGGGACCCTGGAGCACGTGAGGGTGGTCAGAGCCACAGGGGACGTGAAGCCCCACCCAGAGTGGCAGGGGTGGCCATCAAGGGGAGGACATGAGGGTCCCATTTCCCACCCGCCCTGAGCCCCTCACCCACCGGCACGTCCTGGAACTGCTTCGCGCCGGCGTCCATCCTCAGCTCCTGCCGCACGTACTCGGGCAGCGGGCGCTCTGGGTCACCACCCGTCACGGCCAGGAACTCAGCAGCCACCTTCAAGGTGGCCAGGGCCTTGGAGAGGGCGTTGACCGAGCGGGCCTCTTCCATGATGCGCTTCTGCTGGTTGATGCTGAGCAGCTCCTGGCAGCAAGAACGGCAAGGATGCGACCCAGCGAGGGCTGGGACCACCACAACGTGATACCCTCCCAGCCCGCTCGTCCCCTTGGCGCAGGAGAACCGGGTCCTGCCAGGTCTCCAGCCCCCTACTTGAGTTGACCTTGGGTCTGCCCTGTCTCCATGCCCGCATCGTGTCATGGGCTGTGAGGGGAGACCTCGGGGTCGCATGGAGGAGACCGGCGACCTGTTTCCTACCTGGGGCAGCTGGTCCCTGACTTTCGTCTTGGTGGCCTGGAGGGTCCTCACGTTGTTGAGGGTAATGCACGGAGCCGTCTGGAAAGGGTTTGGGACAGGTGGTTATGAACACGCCCGGTGCCACTTAACAGGGGCCAGCAGGGAAGTTCAGCTGAGCAGATGTGAGTCCACGGGATGTCCCCGAGGGTTCTGCAGGAGATGGTCGATGGCCCCCTGAGGCCACTGTGGGGTTGTGGAGATCAGGAGAGGTTCCTGATGGCTGGAGAAAGGCATCTCCACGAAGGAGGATCTGGGGAGCTCGCAGCCTCACCTCCCTCCCTGCAAGGTGATGGAGGAAGTCCTCTCGGGAGCCACTTTCAAGGACCAGAAGGGTCCCAGGGACAGCCAGTGTGGACAGATCTCCACATTTAGGAGAGCACACACAGCCCATTTGCTGCAGGGCAGCCTGGTTCTAGTGTCCTCAAGTCCCCTTTTCCCACCAGCTCCAGGCTTCATTTTCACGGAATGGAGACCAACAGCCCCAGCCAGGGATGTGCTCCTCCAGGCTGGTTCAGAGTCCCGCTTTGGACCATCCATAACCCCGGAAGATGCCTCTTGAAGTTCTTTCAACGGCTACCAACTCCTCCCTCGTTCTCAAAGAAACTAGGGTAGCTTCCCCTTCACAAAAGACAGGGCTGTAGGTCCTCACGCTACCTTTCAGGCCACCATTTCATGACCACGGAAGCGGTTTCTGGCCATGGCACTCCTTCAAAACCCAAGGAACAGAGACAGGTGCACAGCAGGCATCTGCCAATGCCTTCGGTTGAGTCTGCTGACTCCAGAAAGGCGTGCAGAAGAGGCTGGAAACAGACCCCAACCCCACTGCTGGCCTGGGGCAACCCAACTTGGCCCATGCTGAGCTCACCTGAGCCTTGATGATGGGCTTCCCGCTGATGAAGCGATGAACCACTTGCCGCTGCAGCATCTGGAAGCTGAAGTAGGCCGTCTTGGTGCCATCTTCGTCTATCTCGTACTGGAAGTTGGCAAGCGCCATGGTCACCAGATCGCTCTTGGTTATGGCCGGCACAGAGGAGGGCTTCACCTCTTCTGTGGAGATGGACCTGGGAGAGGAATGGTTGCCCTGTGTGGTTAGAGGGCCTCTTGCCTCGTCCTGCTCTGCCATCAAGGACCCGCTTTGTTGAACACCAAGCCACCAGGACCTTGCAGCGGCATCGCTTGGCTGCCACAGCTCCCCTGCAAGCCCCACACCAGCCCCAAAAACCTCTCACGGAGCCTGTATGGAGGGTGGAGGAGATGGACAGCCCTAGGGTGAGCGGCTCGAGACCTACCGTTGCCTCTCCCTGGTGACCCGCGCAGCCGTGTCAACACAGCTGTTTTGCAGCTGGATGAGGAACATGGTCACCAGGTGGCTGATGGACGGTTGGGTGGGGAGGAGATGCAGGATGGCGGTGTTGGTGTTGATGTCATTCGGCGAGAGGTCCGGCAGGACGGTGATGCCTGGGAAAGGGCAGAACAGTCTTCTACCCGCTGTAAGGATCCCAGGGGAAATTCTCCCTTTCACTGGAGGGATTCTTGGAAGGATTTCTTATTAGGTTTTGTATTTTCAGACGGGTTTTCCATTTGTTTTTAGCAGGTGGAAAGCAAGCAAGCTCAGCAATTTTGCTAGGAAGGGAAGGGAAGGGTCGTTGCAGAAAGCAGCTCAGCTTCGGAGCATCAGCGCGGGTTTCCGTAGCGTAGCGGTTATCACGTTCGCCTCACACGCGAAAGGTCCCCGCTTCGATCCCGGGCGGAAACACCAACGTTTACAAGGCCAAGTGCCGGGTCCTGCACTTGGGTCAC